CCACCTGAAGCTGCAGCAGGAACCTGTCCACCTGAAGCTGCAGCAGGTGTTAGGAAAGACAAAAACGTGATGTAAAAGCTGGAGGAGGTGAACTCAGAGAGACAAAAGAAAGTTGTAGATTTAAAGACGGGGTTGTTCTGGTTTGCTGCGTCTCGGAGTGGTTGAACGAGATGAGTGGAAAGTGCTCAGGATGATGCCTTATTTGACTCAACAGGAAACAAGAAGAGACGAAGCTCAAGTGTTTGTGTTTGGAGACTTTTCAGTCCGATGGAGGAAGTTAAACACTAAAGCAGGTCATCGTGTCCAATCACGTCACTTCAGGGTTTGACATTTGCTGATATTTGGTGCCAAATGCTCCTCAGTCTTCCCCTCCCCCATCAAAAACATGACCAATGTGTTTTGTCTCGGGAGGCAATCTAAATATGTATTTTTTACTGACAGAACGTTGGTTTGTCCTCTGCTTTAGTTAAAATCATAAATAATTTAAATCTGAACAATTAACTGTTGATATTTTTAATGACAAGTTTTATTCAAATTGTTATTTTTTATACATTGTGAATTAGATTTGACAAACTGGTTGCAGAGAGAGACCTGAAAGAATTTTATAAGCATCACTTACTTGGTATAAAATACTAAGAGCACATAGTTTTTGTCCCAAGTATTACAGTACATATATTTTTAAAGTGTGTCTGTTTTTGCCAGTACTGAAACTTTATGCAAACGTGACTGAATTCTTGAAGCCATAAGGTTAAATCTACTGTAGACTCCAGCCAGAGCAGCTGAGTTTACACTTTGATGACACTCCATACAGATGACAACGTTTCACAGGGAGCACGAGTTAAAGGAGTAGTTTGGACATTTTGTAGTGAGGCTCTCTAAGAGAGAATGAGGAAACGAGGAACGTTCCAGCAGAACTTTGAAATGGACCAGCCAGATGATGTGTTTATATTGAGTACGGATGCTAAAGCTGAGAAGCTGTGGACGTGCAGTCAATGGTTGCTTTCTGACAGTTTCATTACAACTGTTCATCAGTTCATGATATGTATCCTGGTGCATGCTCAATATTCCAGGTAGAAAAATCTGCAAAATTTAAGTCAGGTCCTCTGGACAGATTCTTCTTGTTCAAACGTTTCGTCTTTAATCCAGAAGACTTCTTCATTCTGAGGAGCTGCAACAATCTCAGTCTTATAAATAGCATCTTGGGGGTAAAGACAAACAAAGTGCGGGTTTACATGAAAACGTTGTAGTTTCCATGTCAGTCGGGTTGCCAGATAAGAAATTATGAACTATAGTACTGCTGCTTTAAAAATTATAGTATTTTGACCTGTAAGACTGAGTTTGTTGCAAACGCTGAAGTTGTTTTATCACTTTGGTGTTTTGAACTCGTCACTTCTGTCAGACTTAAATCTAAACAAATATTAGTTGTTCACAACCTTTCTAAAAAATGGAATATGTCCAAACTATTTCTTTAAGCCTTCATGCCTTTTGTTGTTTGTTGTTCTCCTTCATGTTCTGGTTGTTAAGGTGATGCTTGAGAGGCTTCTTGCTGCGTGGAGCATCAAGAGTTACTTGTAGACCTTCACGCTGGAACTGTTAACACCCTCTGACACACTTTACTGGAAGTGGCAAACAGACGCTTCTACCAAAGTCTAGAACATAACAGAACCTACAAGAGGCTTTTTATTCTTTGTATTACTTGACTGACATGTTTCTGGAAACAATCGGAGCAGAGAGTCACAGTTCATGGTACTAAATACGTTTTTAAAAGATGTCAAATCAACCTCTATAAATTGTACTGTGGGTGTTTTTGTACAAACTTGTAAATACAACTTTTGTGGATTGTCACAAATGTTTTGTTTTATTGTAAAAACTTGTTTTAAAAGTTTACATAGATACAGATTTTTGTATATTTTTGAGTTGTGGAACACTTTGTCTTGTATTTATTTTTAGTAAGCATTGTGAAAATCCTGTAGTAAATCTTATTAAAGCCCACTGCTATAACACAACCAACTGCGTAGCATCTGTGTACAAACAAGAGCATACACGTGACGGATCACTGTGCACGTGTTTGTGCTGTAGGACAACTTCAGATTCATTATTTTTTTATTTAACACCTCAGACATTATATTTCAGATCATTTGTAATCGCAGAACACAAAACAGAGGTCCGTGGTCTTACGTGCACGTCATGCGTTCAGAGACAGCAGAAATATAAAATAAATTATTTGAGTCATGTGTCACAACAGAGGGATTTTACCCAAAAGAACAGACTGAATAAGACTCAAAACACTTTATGATTTTAACTGATTTATTTACATTTTGGGTCACGGGGGTCGCTGGTGCCCATGTCCAGCAATCACTGTGCGAGAAGGGGGTACACCCTGGACGGGTCTCCAGTCCATCACAGAGACACAAAGAGACAAACGAGACAAACAACCATTCACTCTCTCACTCACACCTAGGGACAGTTTAGAGTTACCAATCAGTCTAACATGCATGTTTTTGGTCTGTGGGAGGAAACTGGAGTACCTGGAGAAAACCCACGCATGCACGGAGAGAACATGCAAACTCCACCCAGGAAGGCCCCTGGACCGGGGTTTGAACCAGGGACCTGCTCGCTGAGAGGCAGCAGCTCTACCAGTTGCGCCACCGTGCTGCCGGGATGAAGATCAGTTCCTCCAAATCCGAGGCCATGGTCTTGAGCCAGAAAAGGGTAGAGTGCCCTCTCCAGGTCAGGGAGGAGGTCCTACCCCAAGTGGAGGAGTTCAAGTATCTCGGGGTCTTGTTCACGAATGAGGGACAAATGGAGCATGAGATCGATAGGCGGATAGGTGCAGCGTCTGCAGTGAAGCGGGCGCTGTACAGGTCTGTCGTGGTGAAGAGAGAGCTGAGTCAAAAGGTGAAGCTCTCAATTTACTGGTCAATCTACGTTCCTACCCTGCAGGAGAAAGATGCATGTGGGTGTTCAACTCCCCACACTCCTCACACATGGGTGGGTCGTGGGAGAGACTTAATGGAGTTGCGAGGCGCATTCTGGACGGTATTCTTTTGAAAGCTGTACATATTCAGCTCACACATGAAGTGTTAAGCACATTCATGGCAGAAGTAATGGCAATAATGAAAGCAAGACCACTTATATCAGTCTCAGCAGATCCAGACAAACCAAACCTCCTCACTCCAGCATAGTGGTGGAGGAAGTACTCAAACACTGTACTTAAGTAAAAGTACAAATAAACAGACAAAAATGTACTCTAGTAAAAGTATAAGTACCTCATTAACATGTTTACTCAAGTAAAAGTAAATAAGTACTTGCTTTTAAAATACTTTAAAGTATTATAAGTAAAAGTACTGGCTGAATGTATTACATAATGCAATGGTCTACATATCATTAAGTGTACTTACCATATGTATATTTTCTGTAGTACATTAATAGTGTTGTTCCATTTTACTGAACAATGCTGCAGATAATACATGTTTTTATTCTGTTTACTCTGTGACACAGTTCAACCTGGACTTGTGATTCTGTGTCAGAATTTCAGGGATGACCTGCAAAGTTAAATGTCATTAATCAAAATAAGAAAGAGGAATGATTTTACTTTTAAAAGTTTTTATTTAACACAAAGTAAAACCAATGTGTCATTTTAACTGCAGTAAAACATTTAAGTAAAAGTTGTCTGCCTGAACAAAAGGAGCATTAGACACAACAAAGGAACAGGCTCTGATCATTTCAACTCTAGTTAAATTCTGTCTATTCAACCTTGTAATGGATCAATATTGAATAATATTTTAACTTCCTGACACATTTTTAAAACTTGGACCTGAGTGTCGAGACATTTGGAGACATATCTTGTCTCCTAACATCATGAACTGACACATTTTAATATTGCAGCAAGAATTTCTTGTTCAAGTTCAGAAGAAGTTGGTTTTCAAAGAGTTCTGAGTCCAGTCTGGATCTTTAGGGAGAGAGAATCTGTCCTGCTGTACTGAGTCTTTCAATAAGG